GATATTTCTTCATCAAAATACCCATTACAAATAGAAGTAGGAACATAAAGTTTAGCTATAACATTTTATATAAATAAAATTAATATAGTATATAATGTTGTCAATAAAAAGAAAAATTCAGAATTAGTAAAATATAATCAGGCCTATGGCAGGAAATAAAAGTTAAATACAGTATTAAAATTTAACTAATACATCTTGATCAAATCTAAAATATGCCTATAGAAGAACATCACTAAATGGAAATTCAAAAAGTAAAAAAGGATTATTAAACGATATTTTGAACAAAATGCAGAAAATATTCTTCAGCCACTAACCAAAAGTTTTTCACTATCAATATAGCTTAGGAGAGAAGAAAAAATACTTCATTGGTAGACATTATTCAGTCTGTAGGGCAGTTTTAACTAGTCTCTTACAAGATGTATATTAGGTAAGCCATACAATGCATCATGGTTGTAAAAAATGGTGCTTTGGCCACATAATTGCTAATGTGTTAATATCCACAGGATTAGCTGAAGTTTATAACAATGATTTAAAAACCCTCATCAAACAATAACAATAGTAACTTTGGGAAACAACTAGAAAAACTATAACTAACAAAAACTGTGGGAAAAAATGTTACCATATACACATAGGACTTAGAAAAGCATCAACAGTGATAATGTCCTAACAAATGCAATACACTGCATCATTAGATTTTGTTATTAGAAATTTTCTTAAAATATTAAAGCTGAAGTAATGTTTTTCTTTCCCATATTTTTAAGATTTGTTTTAAAAAGTGAAGCATTTTAAGAGTTAAATACTTATTACATCATGTATGGTTTATATATGGAGATGTTATATAATAATGAACAGGCCAAGCTAGTAAATAATTAAAATCAGTAATGATAATGAATACTAAAGGATTTAAAAAGATAAATAAGTAAAAGCTGAAATAACCATTTGACTATTTATAGAAAAGATATGTAGGACTTACACTGAGATTTGAAGAATAGTTAGAAAGGTAAGTAGAAGAAAAAATACATATTAAGAAATGGAGCTAAAAATGAATGAAAGCAGAGATAAAGGAAGATTCTGAAATGTTTGTGGAAGGTAAGACTAGCCTAACAAAAATGAAAAGATGTGTTGGAGGGGTGGCTCCAGAGTATAGTGGTTAGTACATCTGCTTTACATGCAGAAGGCCCTGGGTTCATGCCCAAGGTGGAGCCAAGGACCACACCCTGGTGCGCCAGGCCCTCCAAGTGGGCCAGGTGTGCCAGGTCGGAGATCCAGTTCTTGGGGGGAGACGGCAACATCCGTAGGTCAGGGGTGGAAGTAGGGGGAGGAATTAAAGAATGGGGGAAAAAAAACTGTGTTTTAATAAAAAAAAAAAAAAAGAAAGAAAGAAAAGATATGTTGGAGAAAAGCAGGAAATAAAATAGGACAATATAGGGTGATATCAGATTATGGGAGATCTTGAAAGCTAGCTACAGTAGCTAGATGGTATGGTAAAAATAATACTGAACTTAGTGGGCTGTGAAACATCACAATACAATCAATATTTAAAAGCAAGTAGTTTTAGAAAACTATACAGTAAGGACCAGAAATGGAAGAATCAAAAAGATTAGAGGGAAGTCTATTACTATAATTAAGTTCAAGATAATAAAGGTCTGTGGAAGAGAAGCCTTCATCCCACCGCACCCCCAAAAGAAGATACTTAAAGGAAAAACTAAAAGAATCAGATGACTACCTGAATATGAGAAAGAAAGAAAGCACTCTAAAACTTTCTGCCTAGGTATTTGTCATTACACAGACAAGGAAGTTAAGAAGTAGAGCTAGTTGTGGTATGGCAAATGATTCCTGTTTATGATACGGTGAATTTGAGGTGAAATCCAAGTAAAGCTTGAAAAGATGTAGCTAGAGGTCTGAGATGAGAACAAGGGCAGAATTTAAAAACTGGTGATATTGATTTGGGTTATCATTTTTTATAAAAGTGATAGCTGAAAGTCAAAAAAGTTGATAAGCTCTCCAAGGGATAAAATGTGGAGAAATAAAACAAGGTCAAACAGTGAACCTTAAAGAATTTCCACTGACAATATGTAATGAAATAAGTGCAAGCAAAGAAAAGAAAATGAACGATAAAAAGGTAAAAAATAGAGAAACATGATGGCAAATTTCACAGAAGACGAAGAATTGCAAGAGAAGAAATGATAATGAATTGTAAAGGGATTAATATGATTTCTGCTTTAACAGAGTTTACAGTCTGTGAATAGATGAGATCAGATTTAGCATAAACATGAACAAAATATTACTGATATAGCCTATATTAATTGTACTCAAAAGTGGACATTTTGGGATGAATTGTAGTTATAATCAAGTGAAAGATTTTTAACTCACCTCACAGCTCCTGAGACGGCAGGCCCATATAGGTGTGTTAGAAGAAAGTGGCTGCAGAGGAGCCAGAAAGGGTTCTTCAAGAATTCTGGGATAGGGAGAAATGTATATAAATACATATTACAAATTACATACGCAGCATTCAACTACTTTATTCTCTTAGCTAGGGCCAAAGACACTATATTAAGGTCATAATAAGAAATTATAATAATAATGACAGACTGATCTAATGAGTATATTATGATTTTAATCATTACTATTTTAGTAACTGCTAAAGCAAAGATCTAAGTTTATTTTTCCAAATACCAATAGTTTCAAAAAATTGAAGTATTTTCTATCTTTATCTAAGAGTTCATTTTGTATTCTCATTATATAATCATTTTCATTTATCAAAAACTGAACTAATGAAACATTCAGGTGACTTCTTGAGAATAACATAATATTACGTCAAGTTCTAAGACTAAATGTCACATTGTAGCAATTTAAAAATATTTTCAAAGAACAATTAAAAGAATATGAATATTATAAAAACCATGTCTATATTTTCCTAAATTATTATACAGTATTATTTTAAGACAAAAATGAAAGCTGAAATAGATGTTAACAAAAAACATTTTTAAACACTTTACCACAGAGGAATTAAATGCTTAAAAATATGATGAAACCATTAAAAATTTTATAAACTAGGATGAATATTTCTTTATTCTAAAAACTCTTAGTGTCAGATGTTTTCAGGTTGCTTCAGAAGATCACAGGCAAATGTCACTAAAAAAAGTAGCACTTTGGACATTTCCTGAATTTCTGATCTTTTCTATAGTTAGCCAGCTTTAGATGTAATAAGTTTAAAAAATGTTTCCATGGCAATATCAAAAGACGAACTCCCTCCCACTGACTCACCTGGTCACTGTCTTTTTGGACAATGTGAGAGATGCTTGTGGATGAAGAATGTAACTACTGTTATTGTCTGCTAGAGCATCCACTTTTACAGTTGGTAAGTTTCTGTCGCTGGGTTTTTCTTCAGAGGCATCTTAACAACAATAACAAGAACAAAGCAACATTAATATCTTGAATAAGACCATGAGAATGTAACTAAAACTCATATATTTGAAATAAAGGGAAAATACACTCTGAAGCTAAAGATAATAAACTTACAATGCTTTATTGAGAATTTCTCTGATAAATTTGTTTACTTTCTAATTATAATACTGAAATTCTGTAATTATGTTTTTGGAACTTAAATTGCACAGCCGGGACATAAGAGTGATATAAGTAATTGTTATATTAAGAGTTTCACAGTATAACAGAAAAATGTAAAACTGACTTTTTGTTCTATACTGTTTATAATATTTTCTGCAAACTATGTTTTTTCTTAAGTTTATTTTATTAATTTGACTATTAACAAAAACATAGAATCATAACACTAAGGTAAAAATATCTACCCTGAATCATTAACTATGAATGAACAACAAAACGGTGTAGCTATGATGTTAGAAAAGAGATTCAAATAGATGGAAAAGCAAGGGAAAGAAAAGGAAGAGAACTAATAGGGATATTAAATAGGTAAAGAAAGAATAAATAAAAAGAAATAGGGACTATGAGTCTCCTTTCTGAATCCAAAGGAACAAAGGAAAGAAAAGCAAAGACAAAAGAATCGTTAAAAAAAGTAAGTCACATGGTTAACAATAATATTAATAAAAATACAAATGTAAAATCTTCTCCAGTGGCTATTAGCACTATATCTTGTTATTGTTGCTGTTATTATTACTGCTATTATAATTAAGAAGAATTTATTTTATGCTCACTGGTCATTTGGGAGGAAGCAAGAGTCAACCAGCTTCATAGAATTCCAAAATGAAATAGACAGCTAACCTAGACAGGAGTTGAAAAATGAACTTGAAATTTATTTGGGCTAAGAAACTTTTTCTAATTATTCAGTTCACAATCTTATCCAAAGAGATCAATTTTACCCTGACTTTTATAAGGTGATTTTCCTAAATATACATTTGTTCTTTAAAACATTCTAAAATCCCCTATATCCCATTATTACTCACCCCGAGGACTGTTCACATCCACAAGCTGCCCCTGAGGTATAATTACTTGTGCCATTCCTGTCTGGGTAGATGGAATAACACGAAGCACCTGTCCATTTTCTGATGGGCTGGCAACTATCATCTTGGAAACATTAAAAAAGAAATTAAATGCATAAGCCTACAATAATTTAACAGAATGACTATTTAGATTATTAAAGACATGTCTACCTCTATGGTTGATACTATTATTTCCCTTATTTTATAGATCAAAACACTGAGATACATAAAAATTTTTTCCAAAGTCTCACAATTGATAAGTGGTGAAGCTAGGATTCAAAACAGGCGCTTTGACCCTATTTCCTATGATCTTAACCACCCATGATCTTTATTTTAATTAGTTTAAAAACAGTGATTTATTACATGTCTAATTAAACAGGATTTATTTTTATATCTCTACATTTATATATATCCTGTCTTGGTCAATAAGGAAAACTAATGAGTCCCAAAAAGTGTATATTTATTGAAATTTTTTTTTTCAGTTTAACCACTGAACCCATTGCCCCAAATTTAGAGGAATATCAACTTTTGAAGAGGCATCTGAAGTTGAAGAAAAATATTTTAGCCTATTAATTGAAGATACAACTAATATATGAAAATAAGTTTATCCTATATTTCCAGACTTTTTGGACACCCTGTAAACTTTATTACCTGACATACTACTTCCTACTGACACAGTTTCACATGAAGTCTGCTGTCCTCAGTTCTCACTAGTGCAAGGAACTCTCCTTAACCATTCTTACCCACTTTCCTAGACTTCTCTTCTGCTAAGTAAAACTTGAAAACATTGCTGATGCCTGACAGAGATTGCATTCCTCCTTTTAAGAGGGTCATTTGAAAAAATTTTAATTTAAGAAAAAGTAAATAAAAAAACCAGCCTCAACAAAGTAGAATGCTTCAAATACAATCATAAACATTTTCTAGAAATTAAGAGTAGGAATTGTTTCCCAGCCTGCAATGTTTACCAAGTTTCTTGTGGGAAAAAAAATATCTTCCCATACTTATCACTTCAGCATGAAAAAGCAACTGTAAACTCTGTGTTACATTTGTTGAGTGCATACTAAGTGACAGAACTTTACATGTATTACCTCGTTTAATGTTCATCAAATATATATGAGGTATATATATTTTATATATGAGAAAATTGTCATACAGACATTAAAAGTCATACAAGGTAACACAGCTCCACAGAGGTGAGCTGAAATTCAAACCCAAGCTGTCCAAATCCTTTTAATCACTACTCTGTACTGCTTACCTGTATATGACGATGTTATTTAAACCTTAAAAAAGGCAAAAATAAAACAATACAAAATGGACTTTAAAAGGCAATGGTAATAATAATATTTTTAATATTTTACTCCATATAATGTGCTGTGGTTATTTTTAAACCTAAATAAAACACATATATTTATAATTTACTCAATCATATGAAAAGTTCATAATTAAGACTGATCAGTGGAATGTCCCCTTAATTTTGAAACGATGTTTCCCAAGCACAGTGGAGAAGAGTCTCCTCCATTTTTTCTCCTTCACTTATTCTACCTGGTACCTAAAAAACTATTTTCAATTCATGTAATTTGATAATAATCTTACTTTACCCATTTTAATAAAAAGCTAATTACCTTTCTTTACTATGAAGACAAACATAGCTTTGAAGAGTCATCTGCTGCAATACGTTCTATTTGAGGCAGACCACGAAATTATAAGAAAATCTTGACTGAATATTTACTGGGCTCTTTGTGTACAATGTACCTAATAAATCCAAAATACCATCCCCACTTATCTCTAAAACCTCCACATTCATTTCATATTCACCCCCTACAGAATTTTTACTAGCTCCTTGATAGCTTCTATATAAAAATAATATTAAAAAAAAAAAAAGGCGTCTCTTTCAAAAAGTTCCACTTGATGGGGAATGTTGATAAAGGGGAAGATTATGCATTTGGTAGGGGGACAGGGGATAATGAGAAATCTCTTTATCTTCTCCACAATTCTACTGTGTACTTAAAACTCCTCTAAAGTATAAAGTCTATTAAAATAAACAAAAAAACTCAAAAGTTCCACTAAGTTTATTAGAATATCACCACTTTTTGATCTCTGGTTTTTTGAAGAAATTACTTTCTTACACTCTATGTTTCTTACATTTATTTCCATGCTTCATGCCACATGTTTCCTATTTCATAGTTTTAAATAAACTTCTGATCATCTTCTACCCCACACAATGTTAAATAACCTGTATAATCACTTTGTATAGAAAGTTTACAACAATTACAAAGAGAACTCTTAACTTTTTTTTAGAATCAAACAAATAAACAACCTTAACATCCTTTTTCAGAAAGTTACCCTGTGTAAAATGCTAACCCTTCATATATTTAGACCACTTGACCCTTCTATCAGAACATAGAGACTTTCTAAATGTCCTGAGAGAATCTAGAATAAGTGTCAAATAACAGGAGAGATTGCAAAAGTATTTCATTCTGTACATGAAATATTAAAATGTGTTGGTTCACATCTAGATTATTTGTTGCATATTAATCTCTGCTGGTGATGCAGTATGGTTACAAAAGCCTACCCTTACTTTGCATTTCAGTCCTGAAGCAGACCCAGAAATTTCTTGAGCCTGAACATACACAAAAAGCCTCACTTGTCTACACTTAGCCACATCTCAACCAAATTACTATCAATGCCAGAATTTAGCTGGATTATAAGGGCACAAAAGGACAGAAATTAACTCTAAAATGCTCTAGACTAGAAACAGAAACAAGGATTAATTTTTGGTAAAATGGTTGCTTACCTGTAGTATAATTTATAACTAAAAATATAATTTAAAAAATATTTTTATTATGAAATTAATAAATGTTCATTGTAGAAAATTTTAAAAATACAGGTAAACAAGCGGTAACATTACTCTTCATAATATTACTAATCTAAGTATGTTCCTATTCATCAGAAAGCAAGTTGGAAGTTTTTCTCAGTAATTTCCTCTCTTTAAATCAAAACCATCTCTCATCTATTCAAACTACAAACTTAGTTTGGTCATTAATACTTTTAGTTAACAGTTTAAAGTAGTATTTTCATCATTGTTATTCATATGACATGTATATACCTACAAAGATCAGTCAAGTTATGCTTTATTTCCCTTATACTATTGCTACTTCCACTGCTTTTTCTTTAAGAAAGCACACTAGCACATGGAATGTAAGTCAGGGGCTGAGATAGTGATAAAGCAATAACCTTGAGTTGTACAAAATGTATGTACAAAAAATTAATGTAAGTTACATGTAGACTCTGGTACCTTAGCACTAGTTACTGATTATATTACATTTCCAACTGATCTCAAAGCACCAGTTTGCCTAGAGAGTGACTGAGGACTATTGGGCTGAAGTACAATTTGTAGTCCTGGAAAGAAATCTTTTGAAATCCTTACATAACTTAAAAGTGAATGCCATGGAAACAGTATTTTTAAAGCAATGTAAGTCAACAGTGTCAAGAAATTAGATCATCTAGTAAGAAAATACAAATATATATTTACAAATGGCAAAAAAAAATGGTTATTTATAAAATATACTCACCATTTGTGCATTAGAATCCCCCAATGACTGAAGTTCATATTGAATAGGTTGCCCATTTTGGTCCACTATGTGGAACTGCTCTGCAGAAAGAGTCTGTGCATGAGTCAGGGATCCTGGTATATTCTGTGATGTGAGTGAATTATTTGCTTCATGAGTAGTAAAGGGTAAAATTCTACTGGAACCATTTTGTCCAAAGGAAGGATCTCTGGAGTCCATACAAGCTGGATGCTTTGCAGAAGAACAAAACAAAACACTTCAGTGTTTGTAAAATATGTAAATTTTTTAAAAATGTAGAATGTTTATGATAAAAATGGAAAGACAATCATTTTTCAAATAATTATTCACTTTACATTTTGCAGGAGCTGTCAATTCACAGACTGAATTGCAAGCAGTTCTTAAGTAAAATTGAGTTTTATTGTATTTTATTTCAACTTTACTGAAATAAAATTGTCCATGGAAATGGAACCTACAATGATGACATATTTTTCCTTGTGCATAAATTTTTATGAATATATGATAGGATTAGAGGTAATAAAATGTTAAAATTCTTGAATACATTAAATATAACACTATTCCTTAAGCATAAAAAGTTATTAAAAGGCATGTTGCTTTCCCTTAGGATGGGAAAAAGTTCCCAGTTGAATCTCTACCTCAAATTACCTGAGAATCTGTTTTCGAATCTTCGGAATCATTATGGTTGACTACTAATGAATCATTAGACTGTTCCATGTTGATATCATATTCAATTCCATTTTCTTCTATTATTTAATAGCTGAAAGAGTTTAAATATCTGATCAACTAAAGCACTTAACATTTTTATAGAATGTTTGTCTAAATCTCTCATCTCCCTTACTCCGTTACCCTATACAATTTAGGTTAAATCCTTTCCATTCTATAAATAAGAAAATAATCATTTTTGTTTAATGTCTTGCCAAGGCACCAGAATACATTTGAGGTGGAGCCAAGATTAGTGTTATGTAGTTCCCTCTTCCTGTCTTTAATTACACTCATATACTGGCTTGTTAAGATTGCTGTTACGTGACAGGTACTGTTATATGCTATACCCTTTTAAATACTTCTAAAATTCTCATTTTACAAAGATTTAACAGAAATAAAGCCTTTTATGAGTTAAGCGTGCCCTATTGTAGCATTAAACAATTTTAGAAAAGATCTCTTGGTATAGATGGAGATTATATATATAATCATTCCACTTAATATTGTCTTGACAAGCTTTGAAAATGAAGAAATATGTATTTCAAAAAGTTTGAGCCACTTAGGCCTAGTACAGTGATTTTCAGCCATGGCAATTTTATCTTCTCATACAATTCTTGGCCCTAAAGGATACTTGGCAATGTCTGGAAATATTTTTGGATGTCACAAAAGGAGTAGGAGAGAGTGCTACTGGTATCTAATGGGGAGAAGCTATGGGTACTGTTAAACACCTTATAATGCACAGGACAGCCCCACAACAAAGATGTCAACACTGCTGAGATTGTCAAATCCTGGTATATTATAGTGAATACAGGAGTCTGTATTATCTAAAAAGAATAATGTGTTATGTCTTTAAACTAGTGCAAAATAAAAATGAAACTAGTAAAGAATACTATTAAAAATTTATAATATAAACAAAGAATCTTTTAAAGACCTCACCCATTTAATTTTATCTTTCAAAAGACAGCATAATTTTTTAAAAATCTTTAAAATTTTATTTTTAAATTAACAAGTATTAAATTGAACTTTTGTGTGTGTGTATAGTTCTATGGATTTTAACACATGTATCCATCACTGCAATCAGGATACATGATAATTCTATCACCCTAAACTCTAAATTAACTTTATACCTTACACTTTAGACTTATTCAGTGGTATATATATTTGAATACATTGAAAACTTATTTTTCTCTGACAGTATCCAAACATACATTTGTAAAATTAACCATTTCATAAATCTACAAGGTTTGCCATTTCATATTTCCAAAACATTAGAACTACTATTCAAATTGTAAAATGTAAATTGTAATAGGCTATAAAATCACTTATTTTTAATATAGAACTATAAAATATCTAAAAATTGTTTCCTCTTTAATGTCTTAAATTATCACTTGTATTCTAATCTATTAGAAAAATTCCAAAAACTTATAGGTACTTCTTAGACTATAAACGGCAATTTTATTTTATAACTTTGTTGTTTTGAATTTTTTACACTATACATGTTACTTAACAATATTTGTTAAAAGGGTTTTAAAAAATAAAAATTTCCACTAGAGACAATATAGGAGATTAGATACCATTTAAGGCTCTCTAGCTAGAAAACAAAAAAAAAGTTGATCTAAAATGAAATCTTTGTTTTGTGTCTGGGCTCTGCTACAGGAAGTAAAAATCAGAACCCTCTCTCCCCAGAAAAGAAGAAAAGCAAAATCTGTGAGCTAAAACCTAAGTGATGAGCACAAGCAAAGAGGAAAATTTTACCCAAGGCCTATGCTAATATTCATGTTTTGTGGCTGGAAAACTGGGGCTTAGACAAGCAGCTAGTTGGGGAGGAGAATTTAAAACACCCAGGACAAGACTAGGAACCTGAAACATCCTAAACCAATAGTGTAGCCTGGCTTCTAGTAAGAAAAAATGCAAGTATTATTTAGAGGAACACGAACCCAATTAAGACTCTAGATTCCTTTCACATTAAGATCAATCAAATGTAAGTTTACAATCAAATGGTGCCAAAAACACACAGAAATAAACCACCATAAAAGAGAAGTCAGCAGATTTAGAAACCCCCTAAAGACTTCAAACATTGAACCCATGTGATACTGAATATGAAACAAATAAAAAAATGAATCACAGGAATAAGCAGGCAACAAAAGACTATCAAAAGACATTTAACTTGAAAAAGAACCAAACAGAACTTTCAGAAATGAGAAACATAACTACTGAAATTTAAAAGTCAATGAATAAAATTAAGTAGAAGATTAGATGCAGAAGAATTACTAAATTGCAAGACAGATTTAAAAAATTACCCAGAGATTTTCAGTCAAGATGGTGGAGTAGGGAAACATTGTGCTTGCCTCCTCTCATGACCACATAAAAATAACTAAACTACAGAACCACCATCATTCGGAATCGCCTGACGTCTAGCTGAGCAGAAGTCCTACAAATAAGGATGCGAAGAAGCCACGTCAAGATTGGTAAGAGGGGCAGAGATGAGGAGCAGGCTGGTCCCATACCCACATGTGACAGTTAAAAATCAGGAGGGTCATTTAGGCTTTAATGGGTCCAAGCCCCACATCATGCTACCCAGCCAGGGTTCCAGTACCCTCCTCACCCTGCATGCATATGCGGGCAGCTGCCATATCTGAGTCTCCATCAACCTAACACTGGTCGCCCTGCCTTGGTTATTCTGAGACCCCACCCCACCCCACCAAACCTGTGGGCCCATCCGAGCCCCTTCTAGTGGCTTTTTCATACGAACGATCTCTCTTGGTTCATGCTGTAGACTTTCCTATAATCTCCCAAAGGTTCACAAAACCCAAACAAGCATCTAGCCTTGCGTGGCCCATACCTTTTGCTGAACAGCTCCAAGCCTGGCACTAGCAGCAGCCAGCCTCACTTTCTGGCTTCGCCTCTTGAGGCAGCTCCAAGCCGAGCACAGGTGGCTGCCATCTACATACTGCCTAGTGTTTCACATCAGGTGGCCCCAGGCAGGGAACAGGCAGCTGAACTTGACCTATGGTGGGGCCCCACTCAGAAGGTCCTGGGGCCAGCACACCTGGGTAACCAGCTTCAGATGAACTGGAGCACCATCCAGCACTCATCCAAGGATGACACAACCAGAGAGGGGACGGTCAGTCCTCTCAACCAATCAGCTTGTGGATCAATCCCTCCCACTGATGTGCAAACAGCAACTAAGGCTCAACTACAACAGGTGGACACACACAACCCACACAAGGGACACACCTGGAGCACCAGTTCAGTTGACCAGGGAGACTGTGTCACTGGGCCCCACAGGACACCTACTACATAAGCCCACTCTACTAAGACCAAGAGACATAGTAGTCCTACCTTATACATACAAACACACACGCGGAGGCAGCCAAAGCAAGGAGACAAAAGAATATGTCCCAGATGAAAGAACAGAACAAAGTTACAGAGTTCGAAACACTGGTTATAAAGATGCTCAATGAACTCAAGGGAAAAGTAGAGGAACTCAGTGAGAACATTAACAAAGAAATAGAAAACATAAAAATGAACCAGTCAGAAATGAAGAATACAGTAACTGAAATGAAGAATACATTAGCGGGAATCAACAGATTACATGAAGTAGAGGATGGAATCAGCAATTTAGAAAATAAGGTAGCAGAAAACATCCAGTTAGAACAGCAACAAGAAAAAAACAATAAAAAAATAATCAGGATAGTTTAAGGGCTTCTGGGACAACATCATGCATACCAACATTCACAACATAAGGATACCAGAGGAGGAGAGAGAGCAAGGAATTGAAAACCTATTTCAAGAAATAATGATAAAAAAAAGTCCTTAACCTGGTGAAGGAGATTGACATACAAGCCCAGGGAGCTTAGAGTTCCAAACAAAAGGAACCCAAAGAGGTCCATACCAAGACACATCATAATTAAAATGCCAAGGATTAAAGACAAAGAGAGAATCTTAAAAGCAGCAAGAGAAAAGCAATTAGTTACCTACAAGGAAGCTCCCATAAGACTGTCAACTGATTTCTCAATAGAAACTTAGTAAGTAAGAAGGCACTGCCATGAAATATTTGAAGCAATGAAAAGCAAGGACCTACAATCAAGATTCCTTTACTCAGCAAAGCTATCATTTAGAATTAAAGGACAGAAAATAACTTCCCGGACAAGAAAAAGCTAAAGGAGTTCAACACCAAACCAGTATTACAAGAAATGTTAGTGGGACTTCTTTAAGAAGGAAAAAAAGGGTAAAAAATATGAATAAAATAGCAATAGCTATATACCTATCAACAATTTCTTTAAATATTAATGGATTAAGTGCTCTAATCAAAAAATAGATTGGCTGAATGGATAAGAAAACAAGATCCTTACATATGCTGCCTACAATAGACTTACTTCAGATCAAAAGACACACACAGACTGAAAGTAAAGGAATTAAAGAGAGATTTCATAAAAATGGAAACAAACAAAAACGCTGAAGGAGCAATACTTACACCAGACAAAACAGACTTCAAAACAAAGGCTATAATGAGACAAAGAAGGACCCAGTTATCCCACTTCTGGGTATTTATCTGAAGAAACCCAAAAGACTCTCTCAAAGGGACATGTGAATCCATATGTTTATTACAGCATTATTTACAACAGCCAGGATATGGAGGCAACCTGGATGTCCATCAGTGGATGGATGGATAAAGAAGAGGTGATAATATATACAATGGAATATTACTCAGCCATAAAAAAAGAATGCATGCTTGCCATCTTCAATGACATGGATGGACCTAGAGTGTATTGTGCGGAGTGGAGTAGGTTGGACAAATACAAATGCCATATGATTTCACTTAACATGTATAATCTAAAGAACAAAATAAACAAACAAAACAAACTTGTAAATACAGAGAATATTTTGATAACTGCCAGATGGGAAAGGGGTTGGGGGATATGTGAAAAAGGGAAAGGGATTAAGAAGTAGTTACAAAATAATAATAATTATTAGTTACAAAATACTCATAGGGATATAATTAGTAGTTACAAAATACTCATAGGGATATAAAGTATAGCATAAAGAATAGAGTCA